CACTCTTGTAGGACACTCTTGTCGGACACTGTTGCGGGGCACTCTTGTGAGACACTCTTGTGGGACACTCTTGTAGGACACTCTTGTAGGACACTCTTGTGGGTCACTCTTATGGGACACTCTTGTCGGACACTCTTGTAGGAAACTCTTGTGGGATACTCTTGTGGGACACTCTTACCTTATAAGTCCTGTTACGGTACTTATACTTAAGACTTATAAGTAACATAAGTATACTTATGCTACTTATAGACCTTATCCAAATAAGTAGCACAAGTGCGACGGTAAGTAGAACATGGTGTGTTTTTGAAGGTTTTGATTCTTTCTGTCCGCATGTAAATTTCAACCAGATGCAGCCGCATATTTTAAAAAATATATATGGCTGGACTTGGCCGCGGAAGTCTGTCTGGGGCCGTGTATATATAGAGATCTCTGCGGAGGTGTCGGAGACATAACACAAGCAACAAAAAAAACGCGCGGCGCGGCAGCCCCAAACCACCAAAAAAAAACACAATATTTGGGACGGTCTTCCCACAAATTTTTCACAAATGATTTCCTAATTTTTCAATCTTCCCACAATTTCCCTTATTAAAGGTAATTGGCAGGGTCTTTCCCACACTCTACCTCTCAAAAGTCTTCCCACAAATTCCCACAGTTTCCCACAATTCCGGGCACTCCGTTTTCTTGCGCCCAGTAAGTGCTCTATAGTGGCCCAATGAGCCCGATAGAGGCTTCCAGCTTATACACCTCAGAGACCAGCACACCCACAGCGCTCAAGGCGTACAAGATGTCGGTCGCCAGCTGTCGCGGTATATTTGTTTCCATGCCTCCCACAAATATGCTCCCACAGGCTATATTTGCTTGAGCCCAACTGCCAGGACAACCCTCAAAACCTCTATTCCCACAAGTAGGATAAGTAGAAAATAAGTAGAACATGTTTTTTCGTCATACTTACGTTCTACTTATAAGTATGCAACATTTTGAATATAACTAGCGCAACTATATAAATATGTACGATAAGATCCAAGCAAAATTTGTAGAACTTACAGCACTTATCATGGTTATTACTAAGATATAAGTCTAGTTGTCCCATTCATAACTAAGTTATAAGTATAAAAAACAAAAGGTAAGGGACACTCTTGTGAGACACTCTTGTAGGACGCTCTTGTAGGACACTCTTGTGGGTCACTCTTATGGGACACTCTTGTCGGACACTCTTGTAGGAAACTCTTGTGGGATACTCTTGTGGGACACTGTTAAGGGACACTCTTGTGACACACTCTTGTGGGACACTGGTGCGGGACACTCTTGTGAGACACTCTTGTGGGACACTCTTGTAGGACACTCTTGTGGGACACTCTTGTGGGACACTCTTGTGGGAGACTCTTGTAGGACACTCTTGTGGGTCACTCTTGTAGGACACTCTTGTGGGACACTCTTGTAGGTGGGTCACTCTTGTAGGAAGCTCTTGCGGGTCAC